ATTCGTCAGTAATGGCATCCAGCTCAGCTAGTGTTTTACCATCTTGTTCTTGTAGTTTTCGAAAGGATCGACCGGGTCAGTGACCTTTTCCTCGTATTGCCCCTGTAACTTTGCCTTTGAGTATTCTTTGACCACGGTTGGACTTCTGAGTTTTTTTGTTTTTTATCTCTTTGTATTATAACCCATTCGTCCATTAATGCATATTATTCATGTTTAACAAACACATTTTTGGTGGATCAACACATCGTTTTAAATGATGCAAACGATGAACACAAAATAAAATAGAACAAAAAATAAAAGAGTTAGTGAGGTAAATCAAAACAATAAAAAAAATGAAAAATCCTACCCCACATGATATCTACCCCTCATGCTTTAATTCCTACCCGGACATGATTTTTATTCTGCATGCTAATTTTAAACAAATCCTAACCGCATATTTGTCTAGTTCGCATGCTTTGAACAGAAAATAAAGTAGGAAACAAAGCATCCTAGGGTTTGGAATGAGGTTTTGGGGCGGGCTCTAATTCCATGTACTCTCCCGGTTTAGGTTCTAAAAAACGGTACTCGAGTTCTCCTTGCCGGTGCCCCCTTGGGCTTGCCAGACCCTTAGTCCTAAACCCATCACAGGCTTGTATGGACTAAGTTAAACTCGAGAGGACACTTCCCTTATGCCCGCACGGTGAATAAATTCACACGAAGACATAAGGTATATGAATCCCGAAGGTTACTTGCTAGGCCCATACGGTGAATAAATTCACACGAAGGCGTCGCTTTCGCCCCCACTTAAAAGGGTTCGGAGCTCGGGTATAGAGCCTGAGATGAAAACTTTGAAAAATCTGAAATCATTAAAAAATGTTAGTACAACTATTTATTTAAAAAAATAATCAAAGGTAAATAATTGGAATCGAATAAATAAATTTAAATTTAAATTTACCATTTTCGCATAAAAAGACAGCCGAAAATTAATTTCGGCCTGACTCACTTACCTGTCCCCAGCGGAGTCGCCAAGCTGTCGGAACCGTCTTTCGGTTGGGCCCCGGAATTGGGCTTCGACTTGGATTAAATGGATTGGAGTCGCCACCGACCACTTTAAATCGAATTTAGGTGGGTCGGACACCATCTTACCTGATCTGCGTTGTACCAGAAACGTATCGAGTTCGGGAGTCGGTTACGGTCAAGGAAGGATTAGCACCCTTGAACTGCCCTTTCGGTACCGATTAATTTGCTGGTTGTCTTTATTTGCAAAAATTGGAATTTAAATTAAAATTTAAATTATTCGATTCGAATTACTTACCATTTGATCAGCTGGAATTTCTCTAAAAAAAGATCAAAAACATTAAACACAAAACAAAAACAAAATTAAAAAAAAATAATAATAAAATTAACTAGAATAATGAATCAAAGGAGAGAAGAAAAGAAAAATAAATAAAATAAAAAGATAAATTGAAAAATGAATAAAAAGGAAAACAATATTAAATAAGTAAAAAAACAAAATAAACAAAAGTAATAAAAAAAAAGCAATAATAATAATAAAATAAATTTAAGGCAAATAAGATGAAAATGAAATAATTAAAAATAATAATAAATATACTAATAAATATGAAATAAAATAAAAAAAACAACATGAAGAAAAAGAATTGAAAAATAAAAAAAATATTAAAATAGAAAAACTAAAAAAGGAAAAACGGGAATGAAATAAAAAGTTTATAAAAAAAATAATAAAAATAAGGGTTGGGGACAAAATAATAATTAAACCTAAACAAGACAGTGACTAAAATGAAATACTAGCAAATATAATATCCACAGTCAAACTCTAATGAAAATAACAAAGCATATAAGAGTCATACTAAAATAAAAGAATTAAAACATTGAAGCTCAAAATAGAAGAAATTAAAAGTTTAATCCATGGCTAGAAAATGATATTACAAAGAATGAGGGACCCGTTCTGCGATCATCCCAATTGTCAACCCAGAGATGCCCTAAGTCCCTAAACGGCGTCGTTTTGGGGGCTTTAAATACCCCCTTAATTGCAATCTCGGCAGAAACCCTCTCCCATTTCTAACCTCAGCCGTCTCCTCCTTTTCTCTCCTCTCAGATTCAAACACAGAAAAAACCAGACATGAAAACCTCCCAAACCCTCACCCAGAAAACGTTACCTTTGTTGGCCTTTCACTTTTCCGGGGTTTCTTCGACGAGGTGCACGCCGAGCCTTCGCCCCGAAACAAAGTTTGGAACTTTGTTTGTTTTACTTTCGGTTTAGAAAGTTTTCGTCTTTTGCTTGTTTTTATAGTTCTGTTGTGTTGATGTTCACCCTTTGGTTTTTTCGTTGATGGCTTTTATTTGTATACTGTTTTGATTTTGGTTTGGTTTCTATCTTTCTCGATGATGCTCTGCGTTTCGGTGATGATGGGATTTTTGTGTCGGTTGGCCGATGTTGGTTTCTAGTATGTGATGGCTCGGTTTTCTGTATGGTGTTTCTCTATGTACCCCCCCTGATGGTTTCTCTCTGTTGTGTTTATAGGCCCCGATGGGGGTCCGTTTCTGACTGTTTTGGGGTCGATCCCGGATATTCCGGGGTCGTTCTCGGTGATCTCGGATGGTTCAGTCCGAGTAGTTCCGGTTTTGGTGTTGCACATCGCCGAAATACTCGGCCGGCCAATGACTTTCGATCCTCTGTAACCCTTGATCTCGACCGTTGGATTGGGTCAGATCCAACGGTCCAGAATCTGATGCGGCGCTGGACTTAACGTGGAAACCCTAATCTTTGGACTTTGTTTCTGGGCTGGGTCAGGCCCTGCTGATCTGCTTGGACCTCGTTCTGGACCCTGAACAAAAAAACAAAAACAAAATAATTAAATAAGAAATAATAATAATAAATAAAATAATTACACTAATAATAAATGATAATAATAAATAATAATAATAATAATATAATAGTATAATATATATATAAATATTTTTTAAAAAACATATAATATATAATTTCAAAAATGTTTTTTTTTAAATTATATAATATATATATTAAAAAAATGCTTTAAAAAAATTATATATTATATATTTTTAAAATATATATATATTTTTAAAAACTATATAATATATAAATGTTTTCAAAATGTTTTCAAAACTCTATATCATATAAATTTTCAAAAATGTTTTTCAAAACTATATATTATATACGTTTTCAAAAATGCTTTTAAATATATATATATATATATTATACATTTCCAAAATGTTTTCAAAGACTATATATTATATATATTTTTAAAATGTTTTCGAAAAAAAACATATATTATATATCATATAATATATACTTTTCAAAAAGCTATTCTCAAAATTATATATATTATATGTATTTTAAAACATTTGTAAACTATATAATATATAGATATGTATATATAAATAAAAATCAGACGAAAATAGGTGTCTACAATTTCATATAATTTTTTTTATATTTTTATTGATAATATGTTTCTGTCAATAAAATTTTATAAGTTAGTTCATTAATATAAAATATTAAAAGCTTCTATTTTAAGAAATAATATCCGAATATAATCATAAATAGTCATGAAGAGTGAATAGTTTTTGAAACAAACGATCATATATTATATTCTTGGGCTTTTAAAGGGAAAACGTCAAAAGAACATATTCTAATAAAAACGCCATATCTTATTTGAGGGAGCTGACTCATATAAGACATTCATTAAGATACCATTTGTCTTAATCAATGGTATTTTCATGATTAATAACAATATATAATGCTCTAAGTTACTTTCATAACAGCACGAACCAACTTATTTCAGTAGTTAAGTGAATCGTTATTGTTTCTAGATGTCATAGGTTTGAGCACCAACGATTGTAAGGATAATTAAACATTCATTATCAAATGATTGAGAGTACTTAAAACATATATTATTTTATAATCACCTTTAGTTTAATTAAAAAAAAATTACTCCCATAACATTTATTTAAAGCTTTCTTTAACTAAAATTTAAAATTTTCTATCCCACTAAAGTTATTTTCGATTTTATTCAAAATATTTTACTAAAAAATAATAAAAAATAACATTTATATTTTATTTTTGTTTATCATATTCTTCTATACCTATTAAAATAAATATGTTAAATCTATCTGTTACTTTTAAAAATAATTTTATCATTTCTTCAGTCTTATATAATGTAATATGTGATCAAGTTTATCTTTTAAAGTTATTCATTTAATTGAAAGAATGAAAATAATAGTTATTGATAGTTAGTGATTATTATTTTTATTTATCATTTAATCGACGAAAACATCAATTTTAATATTAATTATTGATTTTCAATAATTTTTTTAAATTTTCATATTATGTCCTTGTGATACGTTTTTTTCTGCTTATTCTTGTGACATTTTTTCACTGTTGTGGTATTCTATGTTGACTTGATACAGTTTTCGCATACTTTACTTTATTGTCAAACCCTTATTTTTTACAAAAGATTATTTATTGATATAATTAAAATCGTGAAAAATAACATATTAAATTATTTAATTCGTTAAATACTCTTTTATCATTTTATATCATTTTATAAAAGGTGCGAAAACCAAAAGTTATATAAAAGTTACAAGGTTATTCTAATGTTAGACGTTATTTTCGGGAAAATATTTTCATTTTTCTTTATATATTTAGGTTTCATACTCTTATTTTATGCATAATTTTTTATGATTATTGTCTCTATCTTTTTCCTTATATCTCCATATTTAGGTAATTATAATTTTGATTCTTTCTGCTAGAAAATTATTAATAAAATCTAATTGACATGGTACAATTGCATTGATTCAAACGGTTCTTACCACAGTTACACACAAGGATTTTTCCAGTAATTTCTCAAAGGAAAATCACACCCAAAAACCTTTTTTAGGAAGAAAAAAAACATAATTCAAAGACAATAAATTAATTAAGAAAACAGAGAGAAGAAACGAAAGAAGAAAGGGACAATTTTTATTTCTTCTCATATTTCTTTTCCCTTTTCTTTTGTAAAATCACCTGTTATTTATTACAGTCGCCATCACGCGCCGCCAGCCCTTCCGTGACGGACGCCAGCTTCTGCAAGTTGAGCTTCACCACTGTGTCGGCAAACAACCGTGTGTCTTCCTCCGTATTCCCTTCCGGAACATCGACGACGTAGGATTCCAAAACGACGGTCCAGATCCTCCCGTCGCGGTCGAAGCCATGCACCGTCGTCACCGACCGGTAATTCCTCAACCGGTGTTCCCCTCCGATAATACTAAAGCCGGTTACCTTTAAGTTATCGTCCAAAACATCGAGCCTCTCGGTGCTGGTGGTAGCGGGTAAGCCAGAGATCACGTTCACGTCACGCGTGCAGCCCACAACCATTTGGAAGTCGTCTTTGACGGAACAGCTCTTGATGAAGTGTTTGTAGGTTTGGGGCTTGTCGAAACGGCGGACGACGGACCAAACGACGTCGCTGGGGGCGTTGATGCGCTGGGCTAATAAGGAAGAGCATTTGTCGGAGCCAACGGAGTAGGTGTGGAACTGAGTTATGCTGGGGATTAACTCGCGGAACTCATCTTGAGTTAGTCCGGGAGGGATGGTGAGGTGGTGGGCGGTGGACTCGGAGCCGGATTTTGAAGGGGAAGGTTCGGCCATTGAGGAAGAAGTGAGGAGAGGAGGAAGATAAGGGGACAGGTGGGTTTGGGCTCTCACAGGGTTTGATGCCGATTGCTTGACAGATCAAACTGCAAACTGCCTTTCATCACATATGTTAACTGCTCTGCCCATTTTATGTTTTTCTTTGATATAACGTCAAAAATACCTTCCAACGTTTATTAAAATTATCATTTTGGTCTCTATTTGTTTTAGAAACATATTGGTCCTCTAATATTTTACTTTGAGACAAAAATTCCTTTTATAGATGAAAATCATTAGTTAATATACGATTAACATTTCAAAATATGAACATTTTCTAACCTAAAATGGAAAGTTGAAGGATAAAATGTCTTAGAAAAAAAGAATAAGAGACAAAACAATTATTCTGTCAAATGTTAGGGGTCTTTTTATCTTAAAATTAAATGTTGGGGGTCAAAACGCTCTAAAAATAGAATAGGGAACAAAATAACCATTTTGGTAAATGTTGGAGACTAATTTTGTTATTATGTCTTTTCTATTTATATTTAAAATAAGATTGTTTTATAATATTAATAATTTTACTAAAATATTTAAATAATATGAAGTTATTATTAGATAGTACTATCTATTTAGATTTTTTTAATTATAAATAATGTATATAAATTCTACAAACACAACCGTTCAAAAACAAAATTTTATATATAAAACTTGTCTTTAACAATGGTGTCCAAACATAGTCCTAAACTAATTATTTTCATACTTTGGGATATAAATTCTTCAACATGATAATGATAAATCAATATGTGTAGATATAATATCAATTCATAAAGAAATGTTAAGAAGAAATGTGATGAATAAGAAAATATATGAGACGGAAGCGATTTTAATTATAAAAAAATGTTAATTTTTTAAAAGTTTTAAGTTTAAACAATTATTTAATAATAAATTAAAAAATATCATATTGAAATTACTTCGTATTATTAGAAAAGATGACGCATTACCCGAACTGCATAGCTACAATGGAAAAGGCAATGGCAGATACAACATGGACCGATATCGGCTCTTATAATTGGATTTCCAAATCTGATAATTTAATCAAAAACTAAAAGCCAAATTTCCAGCTCTATTATTAATCTATTTACGATAAAATACATTAATTGTTATTAAATAAAAAGTTTTTTGGTTATTAATATTATAAATATTATCAAAGTTTTTGTTTGATTTTAATTATCACAGCCTTCGATTTTACTAAGTGCCGTTTTAAGGAACATACAATATATTATATTAATATATAATATATAATATATAATATATAATATATCATTTCATCTTTTAATTATAATTATAATTTTATTTTAAACTTTTAAAATAAAATATAATTAACTATTTTTATAAAAAAATTAAGTTTAAAAATATAATTATGGCTTTGATTTGAAAAATTGACAATTTTGAATTAATTTGGATGAGAGTCGTCATCGACCTTTGAGCTAGGTAGGTCGAATATCTAAAAACTTCTTTTAAAATATTTTAAGAAAAATCGTTTTTAAGATAAAAAATGGTACGCGTTTACCAAAAATCCGATTTAATGGATCTAAGAGTCGATTACGAGTAGGGAAGGATTAACACCCCCACAGTGCCCAAAATTGATACTTAGTCGCTTACACGTTATCGTAATTGTAATACCCTAAATAGTAGGTTAGTGATTATTTTGAAAGGAATTAAAATTTGGAAGACTAAATTGAATAAATGGTAAAGTATAAGAAATGATTTAAGTAAGACCAATTAGTAAGAAATGGAATAATGAAAGTGCATTTTGGTCTTTTAGAGTGAAATAAATTTAAAACCCATTTAAATTTAGGGATTTAAAAAAAGGGGAAAGTAAAAAACTATGCTAAGTCATTCTCTTCTTCTTCTTCTCGTGGTTGAGTGTCATCATCCATATCTTATGGTAAGCTTCATCTAGCTAGTGTTTTCTTTCAATTCTGGTTGGTTCTTGCAACCTTAAGTGATATGTAAGCTTAAGGAAAGGTTATATAAGATTAAAACTATGACATGGAGGAAATATTATAGAATTAAGAAAATGGGTTTTGAAATGATATGTTAAGATATGAGTGTTTATTGATGTTTACTAGTAGTTTTGACTTGTCAAAGTAGTAAATGAGAGATTAGAAGCATTGGATAGATTTAACAACAAGTTAGAAAAAGTGGTTTGATCCTTAGATTTGAATGTTCTTGGGAGATTTTAGATATTTTAAGAAGCTAAATGAAGGAAGGTTAGTATGGATAAGTAAAGAAGAGTTTAATAGTATTGTTGGGTGTAAACATAAGGAAATTAGACCAAATTTGGGTAAGAACCGGGCTGAAAAATGGATAATCTAGGTAAGGGTATCGGTACTGATAGAACATTATCGATACTATAAGCTTGAAATAGGAAGAATCAGCTGGGAAGTATCGATACTGATGCAAGCAGTATCGATACCGAAATGGGGTATCGATACTATGAGGAAGGTATCGATACCATTGATAACAGAATGCAAAAATGGTATCGATACCGTAATAGAGTATCGATACCATAGTATAGTAGTATCGATACTATTGAGCCAAAAAATTTAAAATAGGCTGATATTGTTATAGAAAATTAAGTAATATGTACTCTTGAGTAATGTTTAAGTATAATTGTTAGGAAATATACTAACAATTGATATTATACGTGTCTTTATTGGATGCTTGAGTAGATCAAAATCAAGCTCCCGAGTCAAGCAAAACAAAAGGCAAAGGCAAAATACCTGAGTAATCAACTTTGTGTTTTGGATGCAATAGCGAGGCAATCCAGGTGAGTGCATTTATTTTGTACGTATATGTTACGATAGTCATAGATGTTTGTTTGATTGATATATGTATGGTGATTACCGAATGACACTATACATATAAACTAAGAAATTCATAATAAGTTTATGAATTTTTGTATGGGCACTATGTGTGAAAAACTAAGAAATTCATAATAAGTTTATGAATTTCCGTATGGGCACTTTGTGTGCAAAAAGTTAAGAAATTCATAATAAGTTTATGAATTTCAGTATGGGCACTTTGTGTGTAAAAAGCTAAGAAATTCATAATAAGTTTTTGAATTTCCGTATGGGTACTTTGTGTGCAAAAAGCTAAGAAATTCATAATAAGTTTATGAATTTCCATATGGGCACTTTGTGTGCAAAATGTTAAGAAATTCATAATTAGTTTATGAATTTCCGTATGGGCACTTTGTGTGCAAAAAGTTAAGAAATCCATAATTAGTTTATGAATTTCCGTATGGGCACTTTATGTGCAAAAACTAAGAAATTATATGAATTTCCGTATTGGTATTGTGTGTGCAACCCAAGTACATTATAGGAATGGTTGGGAAATAAATGTATTGGCACTATAGGTCTGAACTATAGAATGTTTAAAGAATTTGAAATAATTAATGGACATCAAAATGGTCATGATATACTTGTGTTTAGAATTTTGCTTATGATTATTTATGCCTCACTAAGAAATTTCATAGCGTGTGTTAATTTCATGCGTAGGTATTAATACAAGCTGAGTAAGGAGACTATCGGACATCAAAGCAAGTACGCCTCGTTAGTAATAGTACGACATTCATGTCTACTTTTGATGTAATTAGTTGGCATGTAATAGATTTAGTAAAAACGCTTTGAAAAGTATTTGATTTACCATTATGTAAAATGATGAAATGTTTGAACATCACTTTTGTTTATCTACGAAAATTTAATGCATGTTTTATTATTATAAAATTAAAATGTTTTATAAAAAGGAACATAATTTTACGGGTTTTCAAATATGAAACTGTTTTAAAAGTGATGTGACATCTGTATCTTGTGTACGGAAGGGTATACGGGAGATGGGTGTTACAGTAATGGTGGAAATCATGAATTTGCATCGATAATTAAAGTATGATTCATTTATTAAAGTTTAATTAATTTGCTTCAAATTATTTATTAGAAAAAATCCTTTAATTCAAAAAGAATTATTGAGATTTGCTCATCCTCCGACGGGAAGTCTATCTCTCATATTTCTTGACCAAAAAGGATATTCCCTCATCGAAAAAGCGCAAATCAAATATAAATTAAATATCGACATTTGGCATAAAATAAATTGCTATTTATAGAAACATGCATTTCATTGTTCGACTAAAAATAAAAATGAATTAATTAGCAAAATAAACTCGATTTATTCTAAGTTCACATTTTGTTCAAACGTCGTATCAGATCAAACTACTTCGATCAAGTAATGCTTTCCACACCCATTATACAAATTGGTGTTCTTAAAAATATTCGAATGAGTTGATAAAATTTTAATCGAGTATGGGAGATATGCAAAATTTTGACACAAGATTAATTTATAAACTAAATTATCATGAATGAAATGAAATAATACAATGTTAATGCTTATAAACATACAAGGATTAAGGAAACCCCATTAAACATATACACATATATCATGTAACATAATAGTAAACATTTAATAATATGTACATAAAAATAAATAAACACAATGTATTAATTAAACGTTTGAATTAGAATAATAAAACTAAAACAAAACTAAACAATAAAAGGATTAAATCATAAAAGGATAAATAATGAAGCACGAACATGTAATACACCCATGAAATTTAACTTGTAACCACAACAATGACTAAAATGAACTCAGACTAAAATCTAAGACCTATAGTAGAAACTAAACTTATATCTTCTAAAATAATATTTAAAGGACTAAAACAAAAGTCAAACACATTTAGAGACCATATTATAAATATTAATAAATTCATTAATATACAGACAAGGATCTAAGTAAATAGAATCATAAATGAATAGCCTAAAATAGACATTAAACCAAATGTATATTAAAGAACATATAATGACTAAAATACATGTAATCAAAACTTGAAGCTAGAAATAAAAAGATTCAAAGTTCTATTCAATGATTAAAATGAAAAATTACAGAATATGAGACCAGAGTTAAACATTCACGAAAATGGTAAAATACAAAAGGTAAGGACTTAAATATAAACAGAGA